GGGGGTGCTTTTTACTTCCAGTGAACTTTTTTCAAAATCCTTTTTCCACTGTTTCTGTCTGGTTTGAAAACAAATTACAGTTTTGTATGGATTTTTTAAATGTACATTTTGAAACAAATGATCAGCAAATATTTTTGAAATAACTGAATAAAAGGCATAGAATTACCAGTCTGACTGTTTCTGGTATAGTTCCCTGGATGCTTACCTGTTCTTTTAGTTGAGAAAAATGAGTGTAAGTTTTAGTCTAATTTCTAGTAAGTTTCACTCTATGTCATTTCTTGTATATCTTTTGATATATATTTTTCAGTTGCGCTCACATGAATTAGGGAATTGAAATTAAGGATGGAGAGAGTTATATTGAATACTAGGTAATAAATAGCATCATTTTTATTTGAGTCTATGGCAGTAAGTGTAAAAGTGGAAAGGAGTGTTCTCAACCTGGGGTTTGTGGGTAGGAAGCTCCACAGGGTAGTACACCCTGCTTGATGTCTATTGTGTAATGGAGTCATTTGGCTGGGAGAAGATGGGATTAAGTAAAAGCCACCAAATATTCGTGTCCAAGTATTAGTGACCATGTTGGGCAGTGAGGATTGCTGGTGTCAAGTTAGATGGCCTGCTGTCTGCAGCTGTCCACTGTGTTTTCCAGAACTACCTTTAGAGAGAGCTGAGGAGTGTGGTTACAGGTGGCTGTTAGCCAAGGACACCCATGGGGTATGAGGATTAGACAGGAAAACTTTACCTGGGGTACTGGAAGTGGTACTGGTGGAGAGGGCAGGCTTTGACGCAGACTCAGGTTGCAGCCCTGCTCTGCCACGAGAGCGGGTGACCTGGAGCAGGTAACCTTTCTGAGCCCACTTGCTCACCTGTGCTCTATAGTTTTGGGGGTTGTTTGGTTGGCTTGCTTGTTTTTGCAGGGAGCAGTAGTGGTAAGATTTAGGGACAGTGAAAGTTCATGGTACAAACAAATTTTTAATGAACATACACTCATGTGCCAGCAGGATATTCAGGAGTCACTCACCCAAGAGACCCTTGATTCTCAAAATGTTTAGAAACGTCTTCTCTACCTGTTGGCCCCAAATTCCCTTAAAGCCTGTAGATGAGTTTGATGTACTCATCTACATCCTAATTAAATGGTAGTTTCAAGGCCCCCTGGTGGTATAGACAGAGTACAGCCTAGGGCCTGAGCAGTGGTAACTTGAAGCCAACATTCATACAAAGGCAGATTTACCAGCCCTAACTCTCTAAGCCACCTTAAACCACCTTACACACGTCCTTCAGTAGATCCCATAGCCTCATGTACCAGTACCACTGTGCTTCTGCTGCAAACGCTAATAGGGATGCTAATTCTGTCTGTCTCAACTCCCTGGGGGCCCAATCAAAGGATGGTCATTTCTTCCTATAATATAGCTTGCTGCAGGCTAACGCTCAGCTCTCTTCCATCGCCTGAGCAGGACTCCAGGGGCATGCCAGGTGTGACTGCAGATAAGGTAGCATAAATGACACCTAACAGCTGCACTGCCATTCAGGGTCTGGCCGTGGCTCCCACACCTGGATGCTGGGCATGAACTAGCAGCGGTGAGCAGTGCGTGTGGACACCACAGGACTGACCTGTGGGCGCTGGTCTTCTGTGAAGCAGCCCTTATCCCTGGCGTGGTGCTGGCAGATCTCAACGTCTCTGTCTTGGGTAAACATGGGAGGCGAGGTGTAGGCAGCAGGCATGGGTGGGAGTGGTGCCAACCTTATTGAGACACTTCTCTAACAGTGGGGCTGACGTTTTAATCCCGGTCCTCATTACAGTGGAAAAGATACAGGCGAATAGAAGGGAAAAGATGTCAGAACTGAGGTTAGAAGGGCTATGAGCGCTTGGATCACAAAGGGTAGGTAACAGGTTTAAATGAGATTTTTTTCCCTAATGTCTCCATCTTGGTTAAGGACAAAAATGGCACATATCTTGTATACTAGAGATTGGGCTCCACGAGGACGTGCCGAAAAGGGGTGCACAGCGCCTACGGACTTCCCTCCTCCACGGGGAAGGCTGGAGGAGCCAGGGAGAGCCTGGGTTTCCGGAAAGGCATCAGTGCTGCAGGCCCGCAGGCCAAGTGCGGTGGCGCTTTCACAGGCTCGGGTCAGGGCTTAACGTGAGCCCCCGCAGTGTGAAGAGCACGACTTGGGATGCGTGATCCCCACCTAAAGTAAGTCTCAAGGAAAGGGACCAGCTGAGCTGCCTCCCTAAACAGCCCAGAGAGCGACCGGGATGGGAGTGCTGGGCAAGAGCAGACACCCTGGCCCTGGCCGGTGTGGCTCAGTGGTTAGAGCATCGGCCTGAGGACTGAAGGGTCCCAGGTTTGATTCCCGGACAAGGGCGAGCACCTCGGCTGCCGGCTCGATCCCCGGCACCAGTCAGGGCATGTGTGGGAGGCAACCAATCGATGTGACTCTCACGTCAGTGTTTCTCTCTCCCTCTCTCCCTTCTGCTCTCTCTGAAAAGCAATGGAAAAAATGTCCTCAGGTGAGGATTAAAAATTAAAAAAAAGAGTGGATGCCCTGAGGGTAAGTGAGCCTGAAGGGGGCCCCTCGGAGAGGCCTGAGGGATGCGGAACCTGGAGGGGGTACGTTAGGGCTGGGCAGTCAGCTGGAGCCCGCGTCGGCACCCGAGAATGGGGCACTGGGGGGGTCCCCTGTGGGAAAGCGTCCTAAGAACTCCCAGTAGAGGTGCTCTGGGAGAGAAAGCCAGCTTTAGGGCGCTGACCCAGCTTATGACTTCGCCAGCCACAGTAACAACACTTTGCCTTTTTCCTCTGGTGTCTATGCCCTACCTTTCCAGACACTGGAAAGGCCAGAAATAGCAATATGGCTGAATGGGGGCTAAAGGAACAGAAACCAGAAGGAGAAAGAAACCCACTACACCAGCCCTGACACCCCCTCGCCATGCCCCCCCC